AGGATTTGCCACTAAAGATAATTTAGACAATGTTGCAAGATCAACATTTATATGGACAAGACATTTTGATGATGCTCCAATGGACAACTGCTAAGAATGTGAGCTACCTTGGGTCTTGGAATAAGCTTCCAATACATTTGAAAAGAATTCCTCTGGACTTCAGTAATTTTATTTTCCTTTCTCTCACTCTGTGCCCTGGTGATTCTTGCTGTCTATAACATTCTATTTGGCTTTCATCCTCCTGAAGCTGCTAATCTGCAGAGAATTCATCTACAGTGGCTGGAAGACAAGTGAGGAAAATATTCCAAGCAGAAGAATGTCACATCCAACATCCAACATTGTCTGTCAAAGAACAAAAGAGTCATCAGTAACTCTATCTTGTACTTCAAGGAAGCATGTGAATCACTTCAAAAATGTGAATAAATCTTTCTGTATAAATAACTAAAATGGTTTCATTTAGAAAGGCAGAGATATTTTGAAAAATATTTTACCACTGAGATTATTTGATTGAAAAAAACATTTTTCCTATTAAGACACAAGTGAATAGGAAATAAGAGAAATAAACAAGGAAGCATTAAGCATCTATTTGGTCCAGTTTTCCCCTAACTTGAACTGCCTTGCATATATTGACCTCTGACATCTAGTATATGTTGAAAAAAGAGTAGATGCATTCCAGTAAAATCACCAGCATAGTCTTCATTTTAGGTTACTCAGGTCAGTGAGTCAAGCCGTGCTGGGGAAATACAAGTGCCACCAATGCTGAATCCATGCTCAGCAAGATAATCAGCACCAGAAAACTATCAATAGTTTCTTAACAGAATGCATCTATGGGTCATGAAACATACACATGCTTTGTTTAATGAGTTCTAGTGTATTTATTTGGTATAAGCCATTAATTATTAAAAATTGAGCTGGAAAGTCAGATCAATGGTCCATCTAGCCCAGTCTTCTCAATGCTGGCAAACCGCAGACTGTAATCCAGACAAGTCTTTCAAGTCTTGGAATGTCTGAGGCTGAATCTGAGCCAGGACCTTTCCATAATTTTAAACTCCTGTTTTTCCTTTGGTTTTGGTTGGCTTCTACTCTCTTCTTCTGAAACAGATGTAGTGGTTTTACTTCCTTAAATAGATAGCAATCCAAGCTTCATTTAGTCAAGACTCTCTTACTTTTTGCATCAGTATTTATAATTTGTGTTGCTTTCTCATTTTTCTTTCTATGAAAGTTTAATTTAAAATTGCAAGGGTTGTGGGCTGACCATACTGATCTGCGGCATGAACAAGATATAGGTTCATATTGTCTTCAAGCAAAGATGTTAAAGAAACATCACAGAGAAAATAACTTCTACAAATAAATAAAATACTAAGGCGTTTATATTTTTATAATTTTTTCCTGTTTACATTTGCCCCCAAATGACCTCTACATTCTCTCTTCCACCCACCCCTTTTGTCAATTGGATGTAATCAAGTGCAATTTCTGTTTTTCAGTACCAATTTTGTGGTGTTTTAAAATACTTGGGAAAGCCAGTTTGGTGTAGTGGTTAAGGCATCAGGCTAGAAACCAGGAGACCGTGAGTTCTAGACCTGCCTTAAGCAGAAAGCTGGCTGGATGACTTTGGGCCAGTCACTTTCGCTCAGCCCTAGGAAATAGGCAATGGCAAACCACTTCTGAAAAACCTTGCCAAGAAAACTCCAGGGACTAGTCTAGGTAGTCACCAGGATCCAACATTGACTTGAAGACACACACACACACACACACACACACACACAAATACTTGAGGCCAACTTCACTTTATCAAATAGGTTTATTAAGAATATGGTTTGAGTCTCAGTCAGTCAATCACTTTTATTTATTAGGCCTTCAGCCAGCAAAGAAAATTTAAAAAGAGAGTAAAAATGGATAAACTTGAATAAGGATATATAGCAATCCATCTTAAATCTTACCATGGATCCCCTGCCGAAGCCTGATGCTAGATCACAAAACTTTCCAACACTGTGAGTTGTGCAAGTCTTAGTCATTCATCTAATGCCTAATTATTACATCATCCACTAACCCAGGGTTTTTCAAATGGTGTTTTGCAGAGCCCTAGGATTCCATGAGAATTTGATGGGGTCCATGAGAGACTTGAATGCAGCTTGAATGCAGCTAAATTTCTGCCCCTGGAGCTTTGCCTTTTGATCAAGGATTCTGGGGATTTTAATTTTTTTTTTTTTAATTAACAGATTCCACAGCCTGAAAAAATCTGAAAACCCCTGCTCTGGCCCACATATTTGTTTGTGCACTGATCTGTATCATACTGAGTAATCAATCATGTGAATGTCCACATAAAGCTGCTGTACCAGTCTGAAATCAGCTCTGGGTTTCGGTGATACCATGATGTCAACTATGTTTGAATGCTGAGCTGATTTATTTCTGTCTCAGCTGAAGCACATTTGAAACCATTGTGGAACTAGAATTTCTTTGAAATGTTATGACAGGGCAGCACCCATTCTCCATCTTCAGAAATTCTAGCCTCACTGCGACTCCTGATCTCTGGTCTTCACAGGATTTGGAAGCAGAAAGAGAGTTTGGTGGCTTTTCTGTTCTCCTAGTAGGAACTGTCAGACAAAAGCAAGTAAACAAAGTAAAGATCTGTGCTAGCCGAACATCTTAACCACTATATCCTGCTGGCTCTTTAAGATATGTATCATTTTTTTTTCTTTTACAGGAAGAAAAACTATATAATATCCTGTTAGTAATCAGAAAAAAAATATACTCTGAACCTAATGAAAATGGAAAGAATAGAGTTTTAATGTTGCCTGCAGGTTTTATTTTAGAGGCATTCTTTTTCTTCTTCTTTTTAAACTGTAAATGGATTTAGCAGCCCATTATATCTGTTCCTGGTAGTTAGTGAGCTCAGTAAATATGTAGACAAAAGACTTCAGGGATATGAGGTCTAATTAGATCAGCAGTTAGAGGGCACAGAAATCTTCCCATATTAACTAGGACATTGTATCATACTATGATGGTATAAATGCTAAATTAGAGTTACTAGTGTTCCATACTGCAGCAAGGTTCTAAAATTATTTTGTTTTCTATGACAATTAGACTGTTTATTGGATTAAAGGCTTTGGGCTTGGCTTAGATAATTTTTTTCTCTTAAAAGAAGATGATGGTTGTTCACATTGAGATGGACTTGAAGAATTGAACATTAAGCAGACTGTTTGAACTGTAGGACGTACTGTATCTAGTTCCTCATCCAAGACATCCATATCAAACAGTTTGGCTAACCCACTAAGATTACAACTGGATTACGATATTCTAAACCTAGTTCTTTCACCAAGACAAAAAATAAAATGTTAGAGCTAGGCACAGCCAGCTGTAGGTTAGCACCTATGTGACTCAATAAGTAAACTATGCTGGCTGGAGGTGGGGCAGAAATGACCTTGATGCAAATTTTTAAACAGACTCATCAGTTCACACCATATACCTTTGTTCTGAAACATCCACTGCTTCAGAATTTGCTAACCAGAATTATGGTTAGCAAAACAATGCACACGTTAAAGGAAAATATATGAAAACATTTTATAAGGGAAAATTGCTTGCAAAAAGTACACCCATGAATGGAAGATACAAAAATGCATCTACCTGGAGAAATCTAATTTGAAATGCATGGCAATTTTTTGTGCATTTTTCCTGAGAAATACATTTTCTAATGGAAAAATAGGCTGAAAAAATTTTACAGTTAGGAATATTAAAAACCGGAATGAAATTGACCAAACTGAGAGAATTAAGTGTCCATATGTGCTGTACATTTAGGAAGAGAACCAATGGACCTTAAATGCTACCATTTCTTTCTCAATCTTATTTTAGAGTATCTCTAATTGCAAGGAAGAGAAAAAGTTAATATTTTAGACAACATAAGCAAGTATTATTACTGTTACTGATTTATCGCTTAGTATTTGATCATGCATATGAATATTAAGATGGTAATATAACAACAACAGCAATTGACCACACAGATATTCTCCATGATGATCTTTTCCCAATCTGGTCTTCCAATAGTGTGCCCATCAGTGCTGTAACTGAGTCTGTCCATATTATTGCTGGTCATCCTTTTCTCTTTCCTTCCACCATTCTCAGCATTGTAGACTTTTCCAGAGAGTTAGATCTTCACTTAATATATCTGAAGTATGATAATTTGAGTCTGGTCATTTGTGCCTTGAGTTAGAACTATGGATTGATTTGTTCAATGATCCATTTGCTTATTTTTTGGGGGGGTGGGGGCGGGGGGCCTATCCATGGTATTTTGAGGAGTCTAACACCAAAGTTCAAGTGTCAATATGCTTTCTATCCTGCTTCTTCAAACTCAACTTTCACTTTTACAGAGTGTCACAGGGAAACCATTGCTTACATGATTCTGATCCCAGCATCTGATTATCTTTTCCAAGGCCTTCATGGCTGCTCTACCAAGTCCTGTCAGTTCCTTTAGTGTTCACAGTTCATCCTAAAAGGTAGAAGTTATTCACCTTTTTGAATACAGGCAGTCCCTGGGTTAAGAACATCTGACTTATGGACAACTTGTACTTATGAACAGGCTATTTCTACAAATGACGAACGGTATTCTCCTTCCTCGAGCTGATGAACCACTGAAGCTGCGCAATGTTTTCATGAACCGCTGAAGTTGTGGTTTTTAATATACAGCCTGTCTTCACTTCACTCATCTGTAGTGTGCAGAGTGTGGAAACGACTTCTGCATGATCAATTTTCATGTCCTCTTGTGGGATTTTCTGGCAGGCAAGAGTTGGAACACAGATCTTTCAGTCCTT